TAAGCACTAAGGAAACATGCTAGTGAGTGTACTCGAGAGTGCGATTAACTGCTGACATGAGCATTAAGCTGATGGTGGCATGAGTTGTTTGAGTCGCTGGGAACGGTAAGTAAGGCCTGCCACCTTACGAATTCCACAAACAAGTCAGTTAAGAGACATATTTTGGAGTCGCTGCCGGGAAGTGGAAGCAGCTCAGCACTGGAAGACTTCAGAAACCGGCGCAAACTTTATTTAGCGCCTACGACGATGCCAACGGCAAGGCTCTTAGCAACCTCAGCTCGTTCAGAGCACGAATGTCCTTAATGGAAAGACACTACCTCACCAGCAATGTCCTGGTACCGCCGAACGCGAGTCAATGGATAGTGTTGTATGGTTCGATAGACCGCAGTGCATTCATAACAACCGTGTCCTAGCACCCGACGCCTTTCATGACCTGCTCAACGAGTTTTCGAAGCACTTCACATGTGATTCCGGGATTTCGAAGTCAGGACACACCCCCAAACTGCCACAGAAGCATCAAGCCTTGGCACTTGTACTCCACGTCTACACTGCTGCATGCGAGCACAAGACCATGTTCGAAATGTTTGGAGTCCTTCCGTCGACGTTTGCAACAATGCTGTGCAACAATGAGGTCGCGTTGGGACTTGCGTTGGAGAACACGGACCAGGCGAGTGTTCATTACACATCGAAAGGGGCGCAGTGGGCACCGCAAGTGGCTGATCGGGAGCCGTTGGTGCATTGGGTGTGGTGTTTTCTTTGACGGCAATAACTATCGGGTGAAAAGCCCGTCCAGTGCGTACCTTCAGAACGCAATGTTCAACGGCTCGTGGCACAGGATCTTTATGACGGGAACGCTGCTGTTCGGCGCGGACGGAACGTTTGGTTGTCAGAAGCAGGAATGACGCCGACACCAACATTAACCTGCAGATGAACCTGCTGGTACTGTATTGTAGTCAGTCTGTACCAACTCCCAGTGGTTACCTCCAAGAGGTAACACTCTCTCGATGCAGTCGATTAAGCTTAAACTTTCTTGGGAGCTGCGTCCCTTCCCTCGTCCTTTTGGCCCCAGCCAAAATTAAAGTGGTTGGTCGTCGCCACCAAGCTGTGAGCCCATCAAAGAGTAGAGATTTGCGCCGGTTTCTGTGGACATCGTCTCTTAAATAGTTTTGATTGGTCGATCAATTGTCTGCCGATTAAGTTCAAATTTTGGGTAAAAGGACAATATGCTTCACTGTTACATACCGTGCCGTTTGGGTAAAATGTATTGGTTAATTCTTCCATAACTTTTCCCCCGTGTAGCACTTTTTCAAATCTAAAGGTATATTCGAATAGAGGAGGATGAGGGGTTCTATTTTCATTACAACAGGATATTAAAATAGATTTCGTTGTTTCAAATTTCGTTACTGCCATACCGGTACATTCTGAGCAAATTAATATACTCAGAACAGTGAAATTTACAGTTAATCAAAATAGTTCTGCATCCGACACAAGTAAATGCTTGGATTCTCCATGTTGCGAAGTGATTAAGAAAAGAATGAGCTAAATCCGCCCAGTATTTGAAAACAAATGATTCGTTTTACCCAAACGCACGATCTCAAACCTGCCCTACGCTTGCGTGGATGGTCTTGACGCTCCAACGATATGTTCATGTATGTGCGTGCCTCCAAGCAGTCCTACGCTTCGTATTTGACGAGCTTGAGGTTCCACTGTTGGTTGGTGTCCTTTTTATCACACCACAACAAGTACACGAGTGCGTCGACCTCGTCGGAGGCGCTGAGGCAAAACCCCAAATGCGTTGCATGGTGGATCTGGCCCGTGATATCATTCACGACCCACTTCTGGTTGACGTTGGTGGCATTGCATTTGCTCAAGAGCACATCTCCGCCGTTCATGCGCTTGGGCGCGTCCAAGCAGGTGCTAGAAAACCTGTTCGTAATACTCTGGGTGGTGATGTAATCGTAAAACCACTGGTGGTGGGCCTTGTCCAACTGGCGGGTGGTTTGCCACGTCACTTTTCCGGACAACTCGGTCAGCACGCCGCCCGTCTTGATGCCGAACTCGATGAGCTCGATGCGTGCAAGGTGCGAGATTTTCGGCAGGGTTATCGTGGCAACGTTACACGGGGACATTTTGACAACGAGGTTCCCGTTCGGAGTCGCTTCGCAGCTCCCGTGCACGTCCACGTCGATGCAATACTTGGCGTCATTATGGTTCATAATGTAGCCGTTCTGAAAGCTCCACTTTTGATCGTTGGTCGCGTTCGAGCAGGGGGACGTGCGCAGGGTCTGCGTGTCGTTCTCGCTAGAAGATTCCAAGCACTGATTCGAGCTCTTGGAGTACAAGATATTGGTCTTATAGTCCCACAGCCAGATCTCGTCGTCAAATACGCCCGATGGACCAACGGACGGCTTCGCAGCATACACGAGCCCAAAGTTCTCGTTGACCGAGTCGTCGGCGTTCCAGTAGCGGTGCGCCTTGATCACGTTTTTTCCGGCTCTGAGGCGGACCGCTTCGAGCGGCCTGCCGACTTGGACGGCCTTCACCCTTGGCTTCAACGTGCGGTTAGCGTAGTGAATGCCAAAGTTGCGTTCAATCTCGGTCGGATTGAATGGCAAATCGAACGCGGCAAAGTAGAATGCGTTGAGGTTCTGGCGCGCCGCCAGGGTCAGAAAGTCCTGCGTGAACACGCCTTGGGCCCGGGGAGACGCCTCCGTGACGATGGGGTCCTCACCCGCTGTGCTCCAGCCGGCTTCGTGCAGCAGGATGAGCTTGCCGGCGCGTTTGGCGCGGGTCTCTTGCTCCTGGAAGCGCTTGAACGTAAAGTGCGCGCCTTCTTCCGCCGTCTTGTTCTCCCAGAACGAAAACTGGTTCACAGCGACCACGTCCACCTCGTCGTACAACTCGGGGAACATTGTGTACATGTCCATGATGTCGGAGATCACGACGGGGAACGTTAAGTTGTGGTCGCGGAGGTAGCTTCGCACTGTTTTGAGGTGGCCGAGGACGGTGTTGATGCCGTGGCGGTCGCTGCTGCCGGTCTTGTTGCCCGGCCCTTTCACGTAGTACCGGTACAAGGCTTCGCTCGACACTTGGATGCCGAGGATGTTGTCGTTGTTGATCAATTTGGTATCATCATTCACGAGCCTCTTCAAGGCGTCATATTGCGACGGGAATGAGTCGACCACCTTTTGTTCACGTCCGTCGCGCACGAAGGTCGTGTTGACCTCGCTCCATAGGCCGAGCCAGACCTTGAGTGCGTTGTCGCGGGCGGCTTCGAGCACGCTCTTGGAGCAATTAAAGTCCATCCCGTAGATGCGAACGTAGTCGGTGACGTCCTTGAGAACTGTGAAGTCCTTGTCGATCGTGAGGAAATCCTTGCACCCACCCCACTCCGAGGTACGGGCGTCGTAGTTGATGCCGTAGAACTTGGCGTCCAGCGCCACCACGGACGAGGCGGCGAACGCGGCAGCGATAGCAAGCGACGATGGTACTTTCATCGGAGAAAATTGGGGAATGCATGACTCGGCTCCTCAACTCTTTCGGCCAAGCGTGGATGCCATGACTACTTCGCATGCTGTTTGAGGGCCAGTTCGTGTAGTAGATTGACCAAAAGTGTCAAAAAGGGGTGTGGATTGTCTCAGAACATTGTATTATTACTCAACGCTTATTGGTTCCCTCATAAAATTATGCCATAAACCGTTTTGGCAAGTCTTCAAATTTTTCCCAAAGTCTGATATCCCAAAGTCTGATATCCCATGAAAAAACGGAGAAAAGAAGTATCTCCAAAGTTGTCTGGATACCAGCTGAATTTTGGAAAAATTATATTCGATTTCCGATTGACTGTGAAGTGCAAGACTTCAACATGAACACAAACCTCCATAAAACACTCGATTCTCAAGAACTTTGTGGTATAAAGTAATGAACTTTGGTGGCATCCAGACGTACAAAATCTCGAAAAATGGAATATTTCGATTTTGCCAACTTTTCTTGGGAAAACGGCCATTTTATGCCATTTTTCGTGGCATCCAGACCCGCCCTAAATTATATATTTATTCGGTGTCTAGGGTACGCGGATCCGGTCCAAAAGCAAAAATATCGGCACCCGGAGTGATTTGATTGGTCAAGTCTCCGGAAAAGCGGCACTTCGCATACTACTTCGACGTAGGATTTATCACATCGGCCGAGATTGTGCCTGTTAGAATCCCTTCCAAATTTCAACATTGATACTACCCTGTATAGGACCGATTTCAGCCTAATCACGTTAAGGGCTGGTCTGGTTGCCACCTCATAAAATTATGCCATACTAGTACACCGTTTTGGCAAGTCAGCAAAAATTTCCCAAAGTCTTATACCTCATATCCCATGAAGAAGTATCTAGAAAGTTGACTGGATGCCAGTTGAATTGATTTTTTGAGAATCCCGTTTTTTTTTCCGAGAACTCCCACTCGACCCCAATGTCTTAACTGATAAGGGCATCCCCACCGGTGCGACTATATAATCAGACTGTAAAATACCGTTTTACAGTTCCTATATTTTGATTTTGTCAACCCCAGCGGTAAAACTGTAAAATATCCGAATAATGCTATTATCCGGAAATGAACGCCTGGCGCGATGGCGTGGGAGGACGACGATGATGACATGGATCAAGCTTGGGAGATTCTTGGCTTTCATCAGTCTTCTGCGCGCCCTAAAGGCTATATTGCCAACCGCCAGCCAGACCTACCACGAGATAGCGAGGCTGCGCATGCTCGGATTT